TTCTATCAGGAGAAAAAGCAGTCAGAAAAGTCGAGGTTGGAGCAGGACTAGAAGGAGTTGGAGATGAGAGAGTCCGAGAGTCCACAGGGTTACCTTGCCCGCTCAGAGGCCCTTCGCCTGCGTCTCGCATCTGTAGGCACAAGTAAAGATAAAACATTTGCCACATTTGCCAACAAAGACATTGCCCGTGGCCTTCTCTCTTCGTCGTATGCCGTGCAAAAAGGAATACTGCTTGCCCATGATGCCCTGACGTTGCGTACCCTTGAGACTGTGGTGAGGGGCGCCCAATTTGAGATGGAGCGCGAGAGGAGCAAGGGGGAGAGGCGCGAGGTGGAGCTCGCTCTCGCCGCGTCCGGCATGGGCCGGCGCGGCGGGGGGAGTGGGGGGGCATCCGGGGGTCAAGACGGGGGTCACGCAGCAGCTGGCGGCCAAAATCGTGACGGAGAGAAGAAAAATAGTGACATGTTCAACGACGACCCCGGCGGATTTTGCCGCTACCACCAGTCCGAGCTTCACACCAACGAGCAGTGTCGTCTCCAGCAGCAACTGCGGCGCGCGCGTTCGAGAGAGGGCGCCGCGGAACGCCGCTCGGGCGGCGGCAGCCGCGGTGGCGGCCGATGGGTGAGGCTAGAAGGGCAGCAGCACCACACCGGTAATGGTGGCGGTGGCTGGAGCTAAGCCTCACCCCCCCCGAGACCTCTTCGTGGACGTGGGCCTGGTGGTCGTCTGGGGCGTCACCCGGGGGGTCGTGGGCCCGCGGGACGCCACAGCAGAGACGGGCGTGCCGAGAGGGAACGGGCAGAGGGAGGCCCGGGGCACGCGCGTTCTGGCCACAGAAGAGAGCAGGCGTACGTTGTGTACTACGCCCACGATGATGGAGGCTACTACGAAGACCACGGCGACTACGACGACGGCTACTACTGCGAAGACGGCTACCACGACGCCGGGTACGCCCACTACGCCGGCGGTGGGGACAGCTACAGCTACCCCTCAGGGTACGAAGACAGACGTTCATCTGACGGTGGCATCCACTACGTGTACTACCCTCCTGCCGGCGAAGATTCGTCATCCGAGCAGCCACGTCAGCCCCCCCCCCGCGAGCAGCAGCACCACCGCTTCCTCCTCGTCCTCTATTCCTTCTCCTGTCGCGCCTCCATCCTTGGGCTACCTCCACCTCTGCACGGCACAATCGGTGCCCCTAGGCAAGTATCGCCCTGAAGATTTATTCAGTAGGATAGGAGTGACGATTGGAGAGTCTGCTGCGTCTGCTTCGTCTTTGCTGAGTGTTAAATCTAGTGAGAGGCCGCCTGGTAGCGAGAGATGGGTAGCTGACTCAGGAGCCAGCAACAGTTTCACCAACAGCAGCCTACACATGTATGACCTGCAAGAGATCCCCGCCATTAGGAATATGTCGTTGTAGGTGATGGTCGACTGCTACAAGTGCAAGCCATCGGTAGCATTAATCTTAGTTTTTTCCAGGAGGATGAGAATGGTGAGAAAACGGCGATGTGTGTGAAGCTTACTGACGTGTCTGTTGTAGAGAGCCTGAGTTTCAACTTGTTCTCAACGCATGCTGTTTCTCTGAAGCAACCAATCCTGTACGACGAACGTGGTGCAACCCTACAAAATGGACTGCTCTTTGCTAGAGAGGAAAAAGCGTCTGCAGCGTATGCCATGCGGTTGCCGTACGACCCATCTGCGATTATTGTAGACCCTGCTGCTTTGACCGCATTCGTGACTGCCCCCGATTCCGCCCCCGCCGTTGGCTCCGCGCGTTCCCCTTCCCAAAAGGGGGGCTCCGCGAAATCATTGGTGTCCATGTTGCGTATTCCGCCCACTGGTCCCACCAGTGTAGTACCTGCGAGTGAGAGCGTCCCGCCCGCCGGCTCTGCCGACGTAGTACCTTCCTCGGCGTCCGAGTTTGTGTGTGTGGGTACTTTTCCGGGTATGGATCTTGGAGATACGAGTGTGCTCACCGACGAGCAGCTCATGGATAGCTATGATGACACCCCATATGAAGACGTTTTCCCCGTGTTTATCCCAGAGAGTGACGCTGCGAATGTGGCTGGTGTTTTGGATAGCATTGATGGGGGTGCTGATTTTGACTTGGGTGCGGCCGCGCTTGGCCCTGGTGCGTCCCCGTTTGCTCTTGGTTCGACTGAAAAGTCCGTTGACATCAACCGCTTCCACCGCTCCCTTGCCCACGCTTGCGAGCCTCTATTGAGAGAAACTGCCCAGCAGAGAGGCATCGTGCTCACCGGCAAGCTGGAACCGTCCACGGACTGCATGAAGGCGAAGGGCAGGCGAGGGTCGGTGCCGCGGGGGACGGGAGCGCGGGCGCCCAAGCCACTGGGGCGTGTTCACCTGGACCTGTGTGGACCGCTGGTGCCTTCCCTGGGCGGCAACCTCTACCTGTTCGTCGCCGTGGACAGCGCCTCGCGGTGGAACAAGGTGTACGG